GGGGTAGCCTGTCCCTTGGTGTCCCAGGCGGTCACCCTGGAGGGGTGGAAGGGAGCTCAGGGACCTGGCTTGCAGGGCAGTGCAGACATCTGGGTCCCTAGCGTGTAGGTGTCTGTGTGGCTGGGGCTGCTGGGAGGGGCCGCAGCAAAAAATGCTGAGATGGGCAGGTACAGTGGAGTAGTGAGAGGGGCCTCTCACGGGGAAGCAGGGGTGCCCCCAGTTGGTCAGGGAGCCTCTGTGTGCAGTTGCATTTGAGCTGATGCGCTCGGGGTGGGGAGGACTCGCCGGGTTCTGGAGCAGTGGCCTCTGGGTGGAGGAGGCATGGGGAGAAGTCGCCCAGACAGAAAGTTGGTGTTCTGTGTGCCTTGGAAGTATGGCTGTGGCTTCCGGAGCCAGCAGACTGGGCCGAGCGAGCAGAGAGCAGCTGGGGGATGTGGTGGAATGGGCAGGAAGCCAGGAGTGGACAGACAGGTGCTAGGGGCCCAGGCCCTCGACCCTTCCCTCCAACCACAGCTCTTTTGAGCTGGGGGAAGGCCCCCAGAGCCAAGGCTCCAAGGTCTTGGGGTCTCTCGGCTGCCCCCACCATTGCAGGCCCTGGTGGGCATCCCTGTCAGCCGATCCCAGTGCAGGGAGGAGGCCAGGGCAGGGCCTCCTGGTGGCCTCGGAGCACCAGCCTCTGTGTCCCTATGTATGGGGGGCCCTTCCCCTCTGCTGCTGCCTCAGGTCCACCCAGAGCTCCTTCCCACACCGGCGAGCCTGCCCCACCCACCCATGGGAGGTAGGCTCGGTGCCCACAGCCCTGTGGAGTCTGGGTTGGGCTCAGGCCCACAGATGACGCAGCTGATTTTCTCTGAAACTTCTCTATTCTGAACGTCACTTAGAAACTCTGCCTTGGGCCAGCTACCTGCCTCTGTGGCCTCGTCTTTCTCCACGAGACTCGCCACAGCCTTCAGGAAGGGGACTGGGACCCTGTGAGCTGGGCTGTGTGGACAGCGAGCACCACCTGTGCCCCAGGACTAGGTGCCCTTAGGTTTCCCACGACCAGTCTGGAGGTGACCTGGGCCCAGTGTGGTGGGTGCCCTTCTAGGGCCTGGGGCTGGTGGGTCCTTAGCCCAGGAACTAGAGGTGCCTGTGGCACTTGGACACCCCCCCACACACACACAGGTGCACGGCCACAGGTACACTCACACACCTGTGGCCCGGGCATTGGGTGTGTGAGGTGTGACTCTAGACTCCTGGCACCTGGGTAGGTTCTCTGAAGGTCCCTGGAGGGAGGTGCAGGGCCATGTCCTCAGGAAGGCAGGGGGTGGCCTGTGGTGGCTCACACGTGGGCATAGCCGCCCCCCAGCCCTGTTTCATCAGAGGAAAGTGTCCTCCCAGACTCTGGGGTATCCACGCAGCTGACCCATGATCCCCAGGGCTGTGGGCCCTCCCTTTGGCTGTGGTCACTGCAGGGTGGGGTTAGCACTCAGGTGGGCAGAGGTCATTGGTGGGCTCAGCCTGGCCTCTAGGGGCTCCCAGTGAACCCCACTCACACCATGGCCTCAGCAGGCATCTTGCTTTAAACTTCCCTGGTCCAGAAGATTCTGTAAGCTCCTGGTGGCAGCCAGCCCCCCCCCCCCCC